TGAGTGGTTGAAAAAGAATGAAAAGTTTTCGATTTACGTGTAATATTATTTTATGGAAGATTTTGTGGTTGAAAATAGGAGAAAAAAAATGTAATGTAATGTAATTTAATTTAATGGGGATCAAATAGGGGCTTAATGCACGCAAAGATCTAGTGCTAGTTTGGATGCGATTTTGTTAATTGATTTTTTGATCGTCAGTATAAAGAGAATAATTTAAAAATTCGGTCAACTAACGGTCAAATTAACAGTTTCCATCCATTTCGACTTCCAGTTCGAGTTTTTGAAAGATTTGGTATCGTGGACGGTACAAACTAAAAGTTTGGGTAAAGTCTGTTAATAAACGAAAAGTTTGGTACCTCGACTACAATTTTCTCTAAATTTTATTATCGCAATCAAACGCACCATAAATATTAAATGACTATTTTACCTTCTTAAATATGTTAAATTAGGATAAGTCGTTTGACTTTCGATCAACTTACATATTTTTATGAAACCGTTAGATGTCATTCTATTGCACATTTATCAAAAATATGTGAAATGTATCTGCCACGGTATACATTTTTTTGAAAGGATTGAGACTTTTGGTACAAAATTTCCTCAGTTTTATATCAATTCAAATATCTTGACTATATTACTTCTATGCCAATTTTACTGCATTATTAGTATGATAATTTTTTATTCATAATTTATACAAATTTGAATATTTTTATTGATAATATTGATATTTTATTTTCTTCTTCAAGTTTTTCGTAAAAGAGAAAAAAGAAGAAGAATTAAAATAAAAATCAAAACGAAAAATTTAAAGATTATACATGAATACTTGAAAATTTGTAAATTGCAAAATGGAATAAACATGACCACAACGTAAAATATATAAGAAATACATTTTAAGCTGCGAAATAATAAATAATATCACATAATAATTTATTTATTTATTGAAAAATTACTCATTGAACATAACTTATTTATTAGAAAATTAATGATATTCATTGATCTCTCCGTTCAATAATGTAAAAACTAAATAAAATCAAATGAAGTTTTTGTTATTATTTCAACATTACCAATTTATTGGAATTTATTTACAAATCTTCAAGTTGTACTGTTGTAGTTTAAAGAAAATGAAGATCATAAACTTATAAAAATTATTTATCATCTTTTAAAAAACATTTAATAAAACATCACGAGTTTTTAATAATTACATTTTAAAGAATAAAAATTTAATTTAATTTAATATGTAATGTGTTGTATAATTCATTAAACAATGTGTGATTTCTTATTTGTTATTATCTCTTCAAACTCATTTTGATTATACATTCTATTAAGAAATACTATTGCCCATGGATTCACATTTTTTTCTTAACTTTTAACCATAATTGTTTAAAAAAAAAATTATAAAAAGAATCTCCAAGTAAAAAATGTAATTGCAATAAGGAGGGTGTTAATTTTCCTTTTCTTAAATATCTAACTTAGACTCTATTTGATGGCCATTATTTGACAAAAATAAATTAGACTCTATTTGATGGCCATTATTTGACAAAAATAAAATTTTAAATAGTGAATATTTGAAAATTTTGTTATTAAAAAGTAGAAAATTTTTGAATTTAAGTGGAAAATATTTTATTATGTAAATCTATAATGGAAATGAGTATGTTGAATAAAAAATTTTGAAATAATGATTATCGAGTTAATTGTTCCAATGGTTACTGAACTTAAGTTTATGTCTTTGACTGGTCACTAAATTTTAAAATGTCGAGTTTTGGCCACTGAACTTAGGTACATATTTTTGATTGATTACTAAACTTTAAAATATTGAATTTTGACCACTGAACTTTGAAAAATATCCAGTTTTGGTCATTGAACTTAATTCAATATCTTTGATTGCTCACTGAAATTTAAATTGTCGAGTTTTGACCACCAAATTTTGAAAAATGTCGTACATTACTCATTGGACTTTGAAAAATATTGTGCAATACTCACTGAACTTTGAAAAATGTTGTACATTATTCACTGTAAATTCAATATTTTTCAAAATTCAACAGTTATGCTAGTGAGTAACGTAAAACATATTCCAAAATTCAATGATTAAATCTCGACATTTTAAATCTCAGTGAGTAATCGAAGATATGGACCTAAATTCAGTGATCAAAACTCTATATTTTAAAGTTCAGTGACCAATCAAATACCCATCTTAAGTTCAGTAATCAAAACTTGACATTTTTCAAAGTTTAGTGACCAAAACTCGACATTTTAAAGTTTTGTGGCCAATCAAAGATATGGACCTAAGTTCAGTGACCATTGGAACAATTAAATCGACTTAAATTGAACAAAAAATTAATCAACTAATATTTTGTTTGAAGGTCTCATTTTTTATGAATTAATTGTTTCAATGGTTACTGAATTTAGATCCACATCTTTGATTGGTAGCTGAAATTTAAAATGTCGAATTTTGGTCACTAAATTTAGCACCTATTTGGCCCCCATTAATTTTCATTCTATTTCATTTTTCTTTCTTCTATTATCAATCATACAATCTTTCATAAAATAATATTACACGTAAATCAAACAAATTTCATTCTTTTTCAATCACTCATTTTAAAAAAAAAATTATTTCACCCATTTTCTAGAACAAACGAGCTCAGATTCATGTCTTCGATTGCTCATTGAAATTTAAAATATCGAGTTTTGGCCATTGAATTTTGAAAAATATTATACAATGAAGACATGAATCTAAATTCAATGATCAAAATTATTTATTTTAATCTTCGTAATCGATAAAGACATACACCTACGTACGTTCAGTGACCATTAACTCTATTTTTGACATTTTTTTTTAATTTTTGGAAGACGGGTCTTTCTTAAAATAAAAATAAATAAGTTGAACCCCAACTTTGAGGACCCTCATCGACCCACCTCTGGAGCATTATGGGGGAGGTAAATCGTGCCTCAACAGGCCAGAAAACAAGAGTTTGCGCGTACACTGGTACACACAAAGAGTTCAGTTCCACATCTCAAGAATCAAACCCTCAAATTACGATTGTCAATAAGGTTGAGACCATAGTTATAAAATCTGGACCGGACCGGCCGATTCAGTCCAGAAACCGCTGAATCGGACCCAGGTCCGGTCCGAGCTCATTGAATTTAAAACGGGACAGGTAACCCGACTTCAACCCGGTTGGACCGTCGGTTTTTAAACAAACCCGTGCACCAATTTTTCGTGAGCCGACCGGTTAAGTAATTACAAGGACTCCCTTCAATAAACTTTCCCCAATCCCGTTTCTACCCCAATTCTTAGAAATTAGGGATTCTTCATGCTTGCGAAATCAATCAACTCGGTTGCCGTCTCCATTTTCTTGCAATTCGACCACTCCCAAAAGTCCAAATACCCATGTTTGAGTTTTAAGAGATGGAACTCGAAGAGCAGGTCAGTCTATTTGATTTTTTTCTACAAAACTCGACCAAAATTGATTTTATAGTTAAGCTAAATTTCTGAATCCCCCATATATGTGTTCTTCTGTTTTTTTTTTTTTTTGTTCAAATATATTACAATAAGAAATTATTGTCTTGTTTATTTCGTTGGTCGTGGTGATGGGAAATAGGCTTTTCATTTCTGTGGTTAATTCCAAAATTGTCACTGGGTTTAGTTTGAGCTTGCATGAATTGATTTTGCTTCTGGTTGAGTTTCATGACAAGTTAATTCCAAAGTGGTCACTGGGTTTAGTTTGGGTTTGCATGAATTTATTATGCTTCTGGTTGAGTTTTCATGACAAGTTAAATGATAACAGAGTTCCAATTTTCATGAATATAGAATAATGAAGTGGTGGACTTCTGATATCTATATTAGTGTCAAAGATAAATCAAATTTACATGAGAATTTTTGTTAGATAATACGAAAATAAAAATTGAAATGTGAGGTCTAACAATCATGAATACGAGGAATGAATGTTAGACCAGATTCTTGCCAATGAGAGAAGGGCATGTAGTGGGTGGAAATTCTTTATCGTTTAATTACTCTCTCTTTCATTTCAACCATTACTGATGCCTGCATGAATGTTCTTCTATATTTGAACCATCACATAGCTACCAATTATTTCTTCGATTATGAATTTTGTGTTAGAGAAGTCAGGCAGCCAACTATTTCCTTCTTGTGATAACTATGCTTGGAATATTAATCTCTATGGTAATTGTTTAATGGATGAGCAAGAGCATGCTGTATGAATCTGCCAGAGTTAGATTCATTTCCATTTTTCTCTTGCCTTTTTCTTTCGGTGAAGCTGGAGTTCATGAGTATGCTGTTACATACTGTGATGTTATAACTTTTATGTTAATTGTCGTGATGTTTTAATTTGAGGCGAGGTCCCAGTGAGAATGAGTTCCTATAATTCTATTTCATTATGAACAGTAAGTAGGTGTATTGATGGTTGTAGTTTGAGCTTTCATTAATTTATTATGCTTCTTGTTGAGTTACATGACATGACATTTATCCAATTGTTGCATTATTTCGTATATGTATTGTAGAGTTATTTGGAGATCAAATTAGAAAAAAACTAACCGTTAACTTGAAATTAATAATCTTTTCTGACTTTAGTCTAATAACTCATTAATACATATACATAGAAAAGTCCTAGATGTATTGATGTCTGTTGAGATTGACGTCGTATGTCAAGTCTTATGAAATTGCCTCAACTTCATGTACATTTCCTTGATGTTAATAAGAAATTGCTTGAGTTGCCTATGTTCATTAATTTTTCAATGGTGAACAAGCATGATGTATAGTTTTTTTTCCTTTGTACAGTTCACTGGTGACAATAGTACACCGCATAGTTCATCTCCACCAAAGAATCGTGCTAGAGGAAAAACAGATATTGTACGGGGTCATTGTAAAGAGATATTAGAAGCTAGTAATAATGGAAAAAAAAACAAAAAAAAAACTCGTTTGCTTGTATTGTGGAAAGACTTTCGCCGGAGGTGGTATCAATCGAGTCAAACAACACTTAGCGGGAATGAAAGGTGACGTTAATTCATGTCGTAAAGTACCTCCGGGTGTTAGATTCAAAATGAAAGAAAACTTGGACATCTTTGCTGCAAAGAAGCGTAAAACTCAAGAAATTCTTGATGCGTGTAACCCACATAGTTCTTACTATCGGGAAAAAGAAGAGCAAATGTATAGAGATTTGGGTGATGATGACGATGTTCAAGAAATCATCCCTCCTAATTCTAAAGGAAAGGGTACAGTTGTTGTGAAAAATGAAAGAAAGGAAAGGGGAATTAAACACTTAAAGCAACAAAATGGAATTGGTTCTTACTTCATTCCAAGAACAGGTCCTGGTAACCAACCTACTATCAAAAGCGTTCTTCAGAGCAAAGAAGCAATAAAAAAGTGTGATCTTACTCTATCGAAGTGGATGATTGATTCATGTATTCCTTTCAATGCTGTAAATTCTGTGTATTATCAACAAAGTATAGATGACATAGCTAGCATGGGCCCTGGCTATAAAGGTCCAAACTTTCACAGTCTTCGAGGTTATTTGTTGGCTAAAAATGTCAAGGAGGTGCAGAATTACATTGAAAGCTATCATTCAACATGGAAGGCTACAAGTTGTACAATTATGGCAGACGGTTGGACAGATCAATGTAGAATAACTCTCATTAATTTTTTAGTTTATTGTCCAAAAGGAACAATATTCTTAAAATCCGTAGATGCTTCAAATGAATCAAAATATGCTAACATGTTGTACAAATTATTTCGAGATGTTGTGTTATTTGTAGGTTCGGAATTTGTGGTCCATATAGTGACAGACAACGCTGCAAATTATGTTACCGCTGGTAGGTTATTGGAACAAGAGTTTCAAACATTATTTTGGTCTCCATGTGCAGCTCATTGCATTAATCTAATGTTTCATGATATTGGTAAGCTTGATGAAGTTATTAATATCGTATCTCAGGCATCAAAAATCACAAAATACATATACAATCATTGTTACTCATTGCATTTGATGAGAAAGTTTACTGGAGGAAAAGAAATACTTCGACCTGCTCCCACTCATTTTGCCACCAATTTTATTGCTTTACAAAGCATTTTGATCCAAAAGGATCCATTAAGAGCAATGGTAACATCTAGAGAGTGGACATTATCAGCATATGCAAAAGAAAGTAAAGGAAAAAGATTCGTTGATGATGTACTTGATCCAGTATTTTGGAAAGAGTGCGCTACTATTGTGCAGCTCATTGAGCCCTTTGTTCGTGTTCTACGCATTGTTGATAGTGACGAAAAGCCTTCAATGGGCTACTTGTATGAAGCTATTCATGTGGCAAAAAGTGAGATGGAACGCAGATTTCAAAGAAGGAAAAATAGAATTGCTCCTTATTTACAAATTATTCAGAACCGATGGAATAGTCAATTGCGTAAGAATCTTCATGCTGCTGGATATTGGTTAAATCCTTCTTTTCAATATGATAATCTTGATATGGAAAATCATAAACAAACTATTTCAGGACTTTTAGATTTAATTGAGAGATATGCTTACGATCAACCCGATTTAAGAAGTAAATTGACGGGTGAAATGAAACTATTTAGGCAAGCACAAGGTGATTTTAGACGTTTATCTGCTGTAACTGATCGCCATAAAATGGCTCCTGGTAAAATTTTATCCTCATATTATGTACTTTGTTATATTATATAACTCAAAATTTTAGTTTATATAACGTCCATTTATTTTATTTTTATTTTTTAATACAGATGAATGGTGAATGTGTTATGGTAATAGTGTACCAAACCTACAAACACTTCCAATTCGAGTATTAAGTCAAACATGTAGTTCTTCAGGATGTGAGAGAAATTGGAGCATGTTCGAACACATTCATTCAAAAAGAGAAATAGACTCGAGCATCAATGGCTTAATGATCTTGTTTATGTTCACTACAATTTACTATTGCAACAACGATAATATTATGTCAATAATTGTTTTCATCATATTGTGATTTATTTGATTTTAAGATTTTGCATTCTTCTGCTAGAATAATATTTGATTATTTATAAAATGGATTATACACTTTGTACAGGAATTATTTCAAGAGTCGAAATTATGATCCTATCGACTTTGAAAAGTTTGGCATCTATGGTAATTGGGTGTTAGAGGAAGAGCCACCAACTTTGGTAGAAGATGAGTTGGAGGTATTTCGTCGTGAATTGGGTGCATGTACTATACAAAGTGACATAAATGACGATAATTGTTCGATTAATGCTAATGTTTCTTCTTCATATGAAAGTATATATGATGTAACATTGAATTTTAAAACTTTTTTCCAGATGAATTACATTTTGATGATCTTGATCTTGATGATTGTGAAAATTTTGGCAACGGCAATGAAAATACAAGTGATACAAACAATGGAAACGATGATTTTAGCATGACTGAGACTCCGTCATTTATATAAGGCGAAGGAATTGAAGAATTTATATCCGAGACCTCAGCATAGATGCGCTCCAACTCTTCTTAATTAAGAAAATATTGATTTATCTCAAATAATTTAATTTGTCGACATGTTCTTTATCCACAAATGACTTTTAAATGATGGTTTTAATTTTGCAAGCATATTTGTATAACATATGAAGCTATCTTGTTTAATTTTGTTAGATAAAGTCTTTTTTTTTTGTTATTTTAATCGTTTTAAATGCATATTTGATTAGACATGATTTAGAGTTTGTGTTATTTGGGATACATATTGATCTTTAGTTAACAAAATGATACGAGATGAATTAGTTATTTGTAGAAAATGGTAAAATTTTATTGTTCAATGAAAATATTTAATAATATATTTGATAGATATTGACCTGTCGGTTGAACCACCGGGTCACCGGTTGAACCACTAACCCATTGACCCGGATGTTCAGGTCAAGTCCGACAACCATGATTGGACTACCTCCCTCGTACTTTAAAGTACTGAAATTATGCCTCGTGGGGCAAGGGTCTTTCTTATTTCACGCTTTGGGGGTGGGAAACGTGGCGTGGTGGCAGAAGCCGACTCATTATCTGCAATGTTGAAGCTGCTTTCATGGCGTCGCTCAATCCTTCAACCTCAGCTCTCAAACACCAATATTACTCATTTTCCGTCTTCATTTTATCTCATTATCTCTCGTTTCATCAGCCACTGTCCACATGAAGAGGACCTTTACGACCCCCAATTTTCCCCGACAAATTTCAACAAAAATAAGAACAAACCTAAAAATACTCAAGGAAGAAAGCTTTCAAAAAAAGATACCAAACAGTTAACGGAAAATAATGCCAATAATTTTACGGTGAAAGCCGATTTGCCATTTGATTTCATGTACTCTTACTCGGAGAACAGCCCCGGTGTTGAGCCCATTGGGTTCCGCGAGCCTGCTAGATTCTCTCCATTCGGGCCTGGTCGGATTGAGCGGAAGTGGACTGGGACTTGCGCTCCGGCTCAGGTGAAGGTGGATTTGGACAAATTGGACGAGGAGAGGAAAAGGGTCCTTGGAGAACCGTTGTCGGAGGAGGAAATTGTGGAGCTCGTAGAGAAGTATCGTCACAGTGATTGCTCGCGTCAAATCAATTTGGGTATAATCGTCTGTTCATACGAACTTTCTTACTACCCTGTCTGGATTTTTACAAGAATTTTATATGCACCGAGTAGTTCTGAAATGTAGAATTAAATATGAATCATTTGTAGCATATTGGCATTTCATTTGTTCGCTGTGTAGAAGATTGCTCTGTGTAGATTCTAATACAAATGCATTCTGGATTGTGTAAACTCTCCATGATCATGGAAACATATGCTTCAGTATGGATGTCGAAATAAGAGCATTGGCAATGAAAAACTGTAGTTTTGTGCTGCCAAATGTCTAGAGTCTTTCATGACATTGAAGCTTTAAATGGGCTTGACATGTCAGGACTTGGCTGGGGCAAAGCTTGTTCAACAACAACTCGAGAATTAACTAGCCAAGCTTGAAATTTGAGCTGTAAACTTTTTGGCCTGGCTCATTTTAGTCAAACTATCAAGTACGATAATAGCAAACTAAAGTTGCTTGAGCTCAAAAGGGGGTTTGGTTAATAAAAGCCCATTCAAGAACAACTCAAAAACAAAAAGACCCAAGCTTTAGCAATACATTAGTTTCCCTTATATAACCGAAAGCTTTGTTAAAGATACTTGAAAAACATTCTCAACACAGAAATGCAAGCATACCTTTTTGCTTCTTGTCTTCTTACTCTTTTAGCATAACGTTTGAACTTCTACATAATTGATAACATTTCATTTATAAAACTCGAAGTTCGTGTCATGAGTTCTCTGAACAGTGGGATTATGCATCTCCAAGGCTATCATGGACCTCCTGCACAGCTTCTGACCTTCATCGCTATCGTCCTATTGATAAATACTTGACTTAAGAGACTGATATACGAGTTCCTAAATGCTTGTCCAGTTATTTTGTATTATTCATTTCAAAAGCTGTCAGAAACATCTATTTTTACCTTCTCTTCATCAGAATCATACAATGATTAGTCAATATGCCCAAGCAAGCTTGGCAATAGTTCACTTGGGTGGTCAATCTGCTGAGGCAATGTTTCCAAAAGAAAAAGATGAAATTCTCTCTTTCTAAGAGATTAAACTCAATAGAAAAATATTCGAAGCATCTTTTTTTGCTTTGAAGTTCACGATTAAAAAAAAAGGAACTAGAGCTTATCTATTCCACTACTCTCTTTTGCATCAGTCCTCATTTCTTTTGTTTCCTTTTGACATATAACATATAAATGATGCAATTGCTGATTTGCATCGCATAAGGGCGCCACAATACCTTATGCTTTAAGACTATAAGGCATGGCTATGGTTGCTCTGGCTATTGAAATCTATAGCATCACCTGTAACAACTATGGCTTGGATACATGATTACTGATAAAAATACATAATTATTCCTTGGGAACTATTGAGAAAAATTTTACAAGTATATGTTGTCAGATCTGACTGCTTTGTAATCATGGAACATTGTGAGATCTATTCAGGTCTGACATCTTTGAAGAGTGTGAATATTGTAATTATTGGTTTGAAGCATTTTAGATTTTCAAGAAAGAAATGTTTGTAATGCTAGGAAAGGGAGGAGTTACACACAACACGCTTGAAGACTTCCACAATCACTGGAAAAGGGCTGAAGCTGTGAGGATTAAATGCTTGGGAGTGCCAACTCTTGACATGGACAACATTTGTTATCATCTTGAGGTTTGGTGTCTGAAAACTGGCTGTTTCTATTGTAATTATTAAAAACTCTTTTTTCTTGGTGCTTCTTAGCTGATGTGGATTGCAGTGTCTCATTACAGGACAAAACCGGTGGGATAATTATATACCGAAATATCAACATCCTCCTCCTATTTCGAGGTCGAAACTATGACCCCAAAAATCGACCAGTCATTCCTCTTATGTTGTGGAAACCATATGCTCCAATCTATCCAAAACTCGTGAAGAATGTTGCAGATGGTCTCCCATTTGAGGAAACTAAGGAGATGCGAAACAAAGGGCTTAACTCTCCTCCTTTAATGAAACTCAGTAAGTGATATGGTATTTATGTCTGAGAGCATGTTTGGCTAGGCTTAAGTAAATTTAAGTTACATAAGTTTGTTTTAAAATAAATAATTTTTAATGATTGGTAAAGGGAAGGGCTGGACCAAAATTAACCTGGCCTCTATAGATGATAAGGATCCTGTTGCTCTAAGTTTTCCATTAGATCCAGAGCAACAAACAAAATGGAATGGCACATATAACTTGTCTCAAATTTATTAGGAATACTACTTAAAGTATGTTTGGGAGTTTGTAATATTGGTTTAAATTATAAATAGATAAAAATCAGTGATGGATGAGTGGGTAGTAATTGTGGGTCCACAGAATATGTGGATAAAAATTTGTTTGACTGACTGTGAACTGATTTTGAACATGTGCCAAACAAGGGCTTAGTTTATTGTTGGTGGTGGTGAAAGTTGGAAAGTAAGTACTTATTTTCAAACTAATGCAAAAATTACTTTCATAAAAGGTACCTTTTTCTATACTAAAAAATGAGAAAATATTAATACATTTTGGCTACAAACGACTCTTTGATTTGCTAACAGTAATTACCTAATTTTGCATCTTCTTTCTGCAGCTAGGAATGGTGTATATGTAAATGTGGTGGAAAGGGTGAGAACAGCATTTGAGACTGAAGAAGTGGTGAGGTTAGATTGTACCCACGTGGGAACAAGTGACTGTAAAAAGATTGGCGTCAAATTACGAGTATGACTTCCCCCTACTCACAATCAAAGTTTCAATCTTTTTGGAATTATTGTTGTCTAAATTATATGCCATACCCCAGGAGGATGTTCTGATTCTTTTGCTTCCGCTTTCTTGTTTCTTCAAAGCAGGATCTTGTTCCTTGTGTTCCAATCCTATTCAAGGATGAACAGATCATACTCTGGAAGGGAAAGAAAGATCAAGAATAGAACTTATTGATGGAGCTGGATTTCTATTCCTTGAATAGGATTAAAAAAACATTTATGGATTGCTCCAATTGGGAATTTCGGGCAGGAAAGGGTGGCTAGCTGCAGTTTCAAACTTAGTTTCGGACTATTGCCTACTGGTTAGTTAAAACTTGCTGTCCAGTGTAGAATGAGCAGACAATAGCCTCCAGGAGAAAGATGATGAGACTTTTTTTGGTTTGTCGTCTATATTCAGTGCAGTCTACATTTTCGGTGCAACTTGAGAAAGCCGGCTAAAAAATTTGAAAATAAACCAAGGAAAAACCCTTTCGATTTTATTAAATGGAAAGATGTACACAAGACACTTGGTTGTTCGTGCAAGAGTTGGAAATTTTTCCTTATATGACTTTTCATTCATCAGGTCGAAGTCGTAGGGTAAGCCATTTATTGGCCCCGGCATCACTTTGGGGTGCACATATTAGATAAGATTGCTATGAACTAAGCCTTGCTGCTTGATAATGGAAAATTGGTCTCTGTTTTTACAGTTTTATTCTGATTGAAATGAAAAATATCAGTGAAGTTCTGATGCTCTTATCTTCTGGTGTTCTTTTCCTTTGTTCCACGAGGTACATAATATACTATTTCTTGCATCCTTGTAGAGAATGACACTTGATTTTCCATATACATATTCGCAAATGTTATCAAAATTATTCACATCAGCAGAATGTGAATTGAGGACTTCGACTATAATTTTGTTTTGTGAGGTGGTTAATATTTGAAACAACTAAATCTTAAATTTCATTCATGATAGCATTTTGTTCAACAAAGTATTATGCACTCAAACCTTGTCTGCCCTATGCACATTGTTGGTGGTTCTCGGACCTGCATAACCAGACCCATTTCCCTGTATAGCATAATCCTTTGGAAAGTGCATGTCTGATAACAATACTAACAGGAAAAAGAACATACAGCCCAGGGACGGAAAAAGCCGTGCATACCTAGAAGATTTTAGAGTAATTGAGCACTAAAAAATGCATATAACAATGGAAAGGTAAGATTGTAAAGCAAAACAGATTTCACACAAAATATTCAACGGAGAGAGTGTTTTTATGGCTGGCTGTCGTTTCTTCCTATCATTTGAACATGTGGAGCTATGTCATTTTCATCTGTGATGGGAACGCAATGTCCTGGCTTGAGAACAACACCCCTCAAAGTAGTATTGGAGTTGCCAATTCTAACATTAAGAATATAACCAGCAGCAAAGGTGGCCTCAACAACACCAGTCACTGCCTGACCCACCATATTTTCATTTACATCTATTCTATCCACTTCAATGGGACGGATTCCTTTCGCTCCATCAAAACCAGGTGGTCCAAGTGCAGTTTTAACTTGCTTCAGGTTTGGATCTTTCCGAGGGCGGCCACGCCCCCGCTTCAGTGGCAGAACTGAAGAGGCACCAGAGTTGTCACCTTGGATAGCTTGATTCATTTTCAGAAATTACTGCTAGCTGATGACTAATGCTCGTTTAGATCTTTGGCCCTGCAAACAAATAAATCAACAAATTAGGGATTTTACCTCATCTTCACCTTCCCAGGGGATGATGATTTTAGGTAGTAGTAACAGTAAATCTCATAACGAAGGAAATGAATTCACGTATTTTCATTTATTCAGTTAAACAAACAAATTACGCTTCGAAAGCAAAAAATGCATCTAAGTTATATTTGAGGATTCAACATTAGCTACTGTTACTTGGGGATAAGACTGAGTTATGAAACTCTCGCATCGAAAAATACTATAAGAACAATATGAAATGTGCAAAATAGAAACTAATCTGAATTGACCTTTTGAAACTTGATCTTGTGCAATTTTTAACTGCCTTTGTCCACCTAATCATATTTATGCAGATTTGCACAGTAGGTGTGGGATCGACATAAAAATCAAATTAAAAGGAAAAAAAACACAAACAGAAAGAAACATATATACAACAAAAGTTTACAGATCTAGACCATAATGAAAAATGGCAGACCTGAACGCTAGGGATAAAAAAAAAAAAAACCTCGGAACACTGATGGATTCTTTTTGGGTAAAAAAATAAGCTGAGGAAGGAGCAACGTTGATCCCTATATAAGTTGTGGAAGGAGCAACGTTGTCTACATTTACAGAAACAGAGACAAAAACATGGTCATTAACAGAAAGAAGTGTGGTAAATGGAGGAAATTATCGTGACTTGAGGCTAGAGCAAGTATAATTTGTGCTCAAGGTTAAAAAAATGACGTGCTTTCATAATAACTCGAAACATCCATATAGAGCATACAAATATACAAATAGGAACAATGACCTTCTACTCAATCTTTATCTGCCAAGTCGTTATACCTTTATATATCATTTACTCCGATGATACAATCTCAAACAGATTTGTAAAAGACAGAAAGTGGTACTCAGCACCACAGAATTACATGATTTCTGACCAAGATGGTAATGCCACGGTAGACTTTGATGACTTTTATGTCGACGGCATTCTCATTTAAATCTAGAGGCACGTATCACTGTTAGTACACCTCATTTTATTTAAAAGGAATTACTCCTTGAAAAGTTTATGCTACTTGATCTACAAATATTTACCTTGACCATGGACAATTGCTTCAACCCATTTTAAATTTTAAACCTTTCAAGTTCAAAGTTTTCAAACACACCATTACCTCTAAAGTCAATAAGTAAATTGGCATGCTACAAGTCACAGAGCAAAGAAGGAGAGAAAGAAACTGCTATTCCAGATTGCCAAGTTGTCAACAGCAGCTGGGTTGTTGGGCGGAACTCTTAGAAATTGTCTATGACCAGCCCACTCTTGGATTAATGAAGTATATACATCAATGTCAAAAGTTAAGTGACCCAGGAGATAAAACTAGAAGTGCATTAAAATTAAATAACGTGACAAGGTAAAAGAACTTTCTAGGAAAACATGAGGCGTATTATTATTTGTTAGTAATTGCAATCTAGAGAACCATGTGAATATCTATGAGGTGAAGAATATGGAGGAAGTAATAGAATTTATACTAAAGCATGCAAAAATATTAACCGTAGTCATCAGAATCTGAAAACCATAACCACAATAATACATATCAACAAAATTAACATAACCTGGAATGCATTCATTTGCACAAACCTGAGAATCTTTCAGTTTAACTCTAGCAATGACAACAGCAGCTGCTTCTCTGAAATAAGTGACCTCAATTGCAGTACCACGCCTTTAATTGCAAATATGTTAGGCATCAAGAGAATAGATAAGTATCCAAAGCAAAATTCAAAGCATTATCTTCTAAAATTTAGACAGAGGAATTGCCAAAAAGATGAAAAACACAACTGAAGCAAACACAGAACTGGCTGAATTTTTATGATGAGCATAGAAAAATGTGTTTCTATCCTGGATACTTGTCACATAATTAAAGTATCCATGAGTTGAAATATTTTAGTTCTAGAGCATCCAACATAGAAATTCATGTCTATTGAATGTTTTACATATAAAATGAGTAATATTCAAACTACCAGTAACACTCATATGGTTGACTGGAAGAGTTTCCAATTTATTCAAGCTCTTAAAAGAAACATATTTTTTCTGAATAAGCCACATCTCTCATCAGCCCCTTTATGAATTGGAATTGGAAATAAGAAGAGAAATGGCATCACAGAGGTTTTTTATTTAAATATAATAATATTGACTAATTCATATCACTAAGGCACTAAAATACGCATCATGTTACTTATAAAATAGATCACTACAACTAAAAGTTTCATCTATTAGCATTTCAATAGCTCATTCAAAATATACGAAAGAACCTAGATACTTCTCCACTCTCCTCTTAGCACCTAAAGAGATGAAACTGAAAGTTTCCATAAATTTGCAAAATAACATGACTGAAGTGTGCAAATTAATTTTAGAAATTAATAACTAACTAAAAATGAGAGGTGAGAATAATTTAAAGACTTTACTTTGAGAAGAATGTCTACGAGATCGCAAAGTAATTTTTTTTTTATAAAGCTTCAGTAGTGCACGAGAGTAACATAAAGAAACATAGAATAGAAGGATACAGAGTAAAGATTGTTGTGAACTAATAGAATGAGTTTCCAGAGGTTAGAAGGGCAGTAATGATATTTCTCAATGATGGCAAAGTTAATGATACATTGATACTATTGCTATGTGTCAAAACTTCCCTGATGAAGTGACAAGGCAGTGAACAGGATTTAATGACATTTATTCAATTTTTGGCGAAGTTAACGATGCTTTTACTACATGCCAAAATTTCCGTGATAAAGTCCAATCATCGCCAAAAAACGGTTGTACCAAATTCTGGAGAGTCCAGCACATTGAGATGCACATTACCTTTGCTAGACATATCCACGAATCACATAACTCGTGATGCTTCTTTCTTTTCATTTTTTGTACATTTTGAGTTATTGAGGGGAGTGAGTTGCTTTTGAATAGGGAAATTTGCGGAAAATAGATAATATCAACAATTAGCGAAAAACCTTTTTGTCTGTGGTTTGTATGCAAACCAAACAAGTTCATCCTCCCAAAAAATGTAAATTATCTGTTTTATTGAATATGAGACCAAAAACAAATGAGTTATCCAGCAGGCCCTTTGAGTAACATTCCACATAGAAAAGCATGGGCCAAAACACAGACTGTGCAGCCTAACAGCACCACCAAATTAGGCCTTTCTGTTGCCCATAGAAAATTTGAATAGAATCTAAACTGTGACACATAACACACCAAACAAAATTCCGTCTCATCATGGGACTAGGGCCTTACATTCGGAACCATAAAATTCACCCGGATCAATCAAACTCAGTTATGTTAATCGCTAAAAAATGGAGCTTTTCAAGGGACAATCACAGAGAATATTACACAGACCCAAACATGCAAACATAACGATATACGCATATGCACACGAGCACACACACACACAGTGACAAGGGAGCTCTTTCTTGTACCTGACAATCTGATAAGGGCTTCACAGTTCACATTTTGTTTTTTAAGGCCACATGCTGCTTAGGCCTTCTTCTGACATTCTGATCTGTAATTCACTAAAGAATTATGATTATTTATCATATATTTTCGATCAGTAGCTCTAGATCAACTAAATGCAGAGTTTGCTCTATCCTTTTCAATTTTTCAAACTAGCGGTTTGGTAACATTTGCCAAAATGATGTGTCAAACAAAATTGGAAACCATTTACAGAAAAAAGGTTTACACAACACTTGCCTGCATAATGCTCTCAATGAGTTTACAAGAACTGTCAGAATTTCGTACGTTTTTATCGTGTTATTAATTATCTAACTTCCTCAAACATTTATCAAACAACTTTATCCCAAAAAGAAAATTGAGGAAAAGCTATTCTGGAAACAGATAATTATGAGATATGTTGAAAAAATAAGGACGAAACACGGCAGAATAAATGATAATTGTTTCATTTTTTCATTATTTTTTCTTTGGAACAATCAATATAGACCCCGAAGTTCAAAATCCATTTCTAACCTTCTTTGTCACCCAAATTTCAGCCTCTGTTAGCATACCTCCAATTATAAAATGCTTGTGAAGCCTCTGCAATTCTCTCCCAGTCACATTATTTAGTTACACAACCTATAGGTGGGATTTAGCCCCCGTTTGAGTTTTTTTGGGGAGAAAATGAATTTTGGAATAATGAACTTTTGGAAAATGTGTGGTTAAAAAGTAGGAAAAAGTTTTGGATTTACGTGCAAAATATTTTATCGTGAGAATATGTGGTTGAAAATGAATTTGAGAAGAAAAAAGGTCTCTTTTAATGGTTGTCAACAGGGACTTAAAGTAAAGAACCTATATAAGGAAAACAGAACAAAACAATCCAACAAACTGTAAAGATCAACTGAACTGCATGGTTTTAAATTCTATTCTCACAGAAGGAACATCAGGTTTTTTTTTTTTTCTTTTTTTTTAAAGAGAAATATATGGTTGTAAAGGGAGGTGAGAAATTGGAAGTAGCACCAAATATAACTTCCAAACACCAACTTCAAAAAAGCAATTTAGCTTATACTTTAGGCTCCTGTTTGAGCTCCATTTCTTTAGAATAGATATTGTAAAAAGTAAATGTAGGTAAAAGTTTTGAGTTTACATGCAAAATTATCTTAGGAGACTGTGTGGTTGAAAATAAGTTTGAGGAAAAATGAATTTTAAAGAATGAGGCTCAAATAGGGGCTAAATATTGAATATAATAGTAGTATAAAGGATTAAAATAATTAATAAGATTCACATGGTATTTTATTTGAAAGCGACTCAACAGAAAGCACCGAAATTTTGTCCAGTGAGAAACTAGTTGGCTTGAATGATAGGTCAAAATACCCGTCCCCAACTTCGTCATTTCTTTATGTCTTCAAATCATATTAGTTCAATTGCAATTTCAAATCATAACATCCAATAACTGCATATTAACCAACCTGACTTGCTCCTATGGAGCCAAGGTCATAAAGTCAGAAAAACTTCTTTCGACATAATTCTACATGCATCTATGAGATCGGAAGATCACAACGCTATGACCTAAGTCAGTTGCAATGAGATTCAAGGCATTGTGAGATAATAAAATAGTCAAATTCAAGAAGCAACATAGGTATATCAGTGACCTTTCCTCCACACATAAATGAGATTTGAAAATATGATTCCAGCCACTGAAAGATGTGTGCACCATGCAGCAAAGCATAGGTGGCCAAGTCACATTTATAATTAAATATATGAATGTATAATTACTTGTCCTCCTGCAGTAGCTTTATATGATGTTCCATTTCTGCTGTGCTAACTGTTCATCCTGAAGTGGAGCACATCAGGCTATTCAGATGTAGCTTTTCCAGATTTTCCATGAAATATGCAATAGCTGAGTCTGGTCACGAAACACCAGATACAATATCTTTAGGTACATGAGCCCCTTACTTCCCTGAGAAAATAAATGTGAAAAAATAATCCAATACAGATTCACTATGTTCCATAATTATCAAATCCGGCCTGGACATTGACCAAGGTCATTGGTTTGACCAGCATTTTATTATGAGGTGTAAATCTAAATATAAAATAATTGATATAATGTAATGAATTAACAATAATTTATAAAAGTAATGTCACATCATAATATCAAATGTGATACATGATTTAAGTAAGTAATCAAAAGACAATATGGTCAAACTTTCTTGCTTTTGTTTTTGCAAATCAAATTAGAGGTATATTATAAGTTTTTCCTCTTTCATATTCCACTTATTGTGTCAAAAATTTCATTCCTTACGAATTTAAATTTGACTCTAGACTTTAAAAGATGAATAATGATCAATGAAGTAGCCATAGTAGAATAAGACAATATATTATTTATACTTTTCCAAAATTTTGGAAAACATTGTCCAAATACATATTGTAGTTGAGGCCATACACCACTAATAAGCAGCCTAACGGACAAGAGCTTACAATGTAACCTGGAGGTTCCAGATTCGAATTCATTTATAAATTTGGAACAAACCGATTCAATTCACGAAATGCATAGGCAGTTAAACTCCAAAAGGTTCTTCCCAGCTAATATGTATTGACATCCTCCATGCACATGTGAGTCGGTTTCCTACATGTGTTGGACACAGATGCAACACCAAAACATCGCCAACATGTATTGGTAATGTCCGTGGTGTATCCAAATTATTTTTGATTTTGTATAGTTCGACACATTGCCAACGTGACGAGAAATATATACGCCACAGGTGACATGTCCAAAAAATATTTTTAAAAAATCCCAGAAATTAGTAGCCACCTTTCCTCCGCACACAACTATCATTCAATTAGGGTATACTCGATCCTGTAGATATTAGCCCAACAAAATAATTCACAGCGAAAATGCCATACTGACATCGAAAATAAGTGGGAAGCTAAAGCGCCGATATAGAGTGCAAATACTCTGATTATTACCGTTTTGAGTAGGCCAGCAACGCCGGGATTTCGACAGAAGGCTTATACTTGGCACGCTTCATCGCCTGCCCATCCGCCACTCTTGACAGCTCAAGTGTAGGCAAATAACAATTCAAATACTCAATTCGGAACTGAATTAATAGATAAGAATAGTAAAATGATCGCCTTCATAACGAATTCAAATTGGATTATCGGCGTGAAATGGCTTTCTGAAGGTATCTGGAGAAAGGACCAGTGAATTGGAAAAATGGAACAATGTCTATTTGTACCATTTTGTCCAGTCCTATTCTTAGGGCCAGTCCTGTGCGATTGTGTGGGTCGAGGCGAAGTCAAAAAAATCGCCCAAAAATCAAAGTAAATGTAAAATTTAACTTGTATGTAATTTATTGTCAAATTAAAATTTAACATTAAAACAACAAACAAATATTTCAATCATCTCACAATTAATGAAAAATTATTTTCCTTTTCCTTCTTTCAATATTAAAAGGCAAAAAAAAAACTTTGGACCAAAATAGACCCTCTATGTTTTTGGACCCGAGGCACGAGCCTCATTTGCCCGACCATAGGATCGACTCTGCTTATTATTCCCATGCAACAATATTCTAGATAGAAATCTTATTACGCTTCCAATTTAAATTTAAATGTAAATAGTCAACTAAAATCGATAATTGAACCAGAACATTTTTGTTTCTCGATAATTAGAACCGAAGCAAAGCAGCTAGTTAGACCAAAATTTTGATTCAAGTCAAGTTGTCCTGACTAAAAATGTTCAACTTTAAATGACAGATACCTGGATAATTATCAATCAGGCAAAATTGAATTGTTATGGGGCATTTGTTTTCCATTTTTGTAAAAATAAAAATAAAAAATATAGCCATCACCGACTCCACACAAAAGATAGAAATTCAAATTTGGTGATTTGATGTGATGAATAACGATCATATTTTTCATTTTAATAGAAGAAAGAATGGAAAACAAACAGAAATATTCACACAGTCACTGCATTTATATGTACATTACGAAAAATTGTGGATCTTTTAACTATTTGAAAGAGTTGAATATGATAAAACAATGTTCATCAGATTTGATATACAATGTTGTCAAAACTCATAAAATTTAAAAACAGGAATAGTAAATACGTAACTCGTCCTCTGGAGAATGAGTGGAGCCTTCGCAAAAGATAATTAAATTTGTTGTCTATATTTTTGCTTGGTATTCTTTTCTTTGTTCCTTGTGGGACACAATTCACTAATTCTTGTACACTTGTAGAAAATCAACAGATGTGAATCAAGGGCTTCGACTATATAATTTTGGTGGTTCTTCGACTCTGCATAACCAGAATCATTTCACCGTCTAGCATCTCTTTCAACGCAGAAGTTAACGACAATAATAACAAGAAAGTGGTCATTTACCTGGGAAGGGAAAGCAGTGCACACCTATGAGATTTTACGAGTAATTGAGCACAAAACAAGCATGAAAAATCAAAAGGAGGAGATTGTAAAGCAAAACAGAAATAAAACGAAATATTCCATAAAACATGCACAAAAAGATCAAGGGGAGGAGATTGTAAGCATAACAGCGAAAAAACAAAATATTCAACGGAGGAAGGGTCTATAAGATTAAAAAACACCTATGTAACTAAAGACCATTTTAAATATTCTTGTGTTTGAGAAAAACTTCCCCTGTTGTGGCTTTCGAGTCTCCAAGTCATAAACTAAACCCTTCTGTAATCTTAAGTAGTGCACTAGAAATTGTTGGAAGTACGACATATAGGAGATCACGGGCATACTTTTGACTTGGCTCATTCTTTTGGATCAGTTTCAGCACTCTTAGATTCATGAAACTCAACTTCTGAAGCAGAAGATGCAGAAGTTGGATGTTCAGGTACGGGAAGGGGAATCTCCTTCATATTTTCCTGTAAAGCCTTGAATAAAGCATATCCCATTTAGGATTTATACATAAATATCTGTGTGTAAATAAACTAATGAGATGTTTATATAAGATGAGGCAACATCTTACCTGCAAAAGTTCAGTCATCCTTCCAGTTCCATAATTGTACAGCGGTGTCGAGACAGATGCAGTTTGTGGGGGCACAGTTGAGAAGGATTCATTGACACCATAATCTTCAGGTGAAGGTTCCCATGTATCCTCTTCATTTTTTTTGTGAACCTCTGAAGATCTTGAAGAGCCTGCCATTTGTAACTCTATTGATTCCATGCCTTTTTCTCCTTTTTCAACCTCAGGCGTGCACTCTTCTGATGAAGCATTTTCATGCTGGACACTTTCTTGCGCAGCTTGGTGCCCAAATTGGGGTTGTACGGCAATTGGAATCTGGCCAGCAGGTATAGATTGAACAGGTGGCAACATAGCTAATGGTTCAACCGTCTCCACATCTTTATCTTCCAAAAACAACATAGGAGCAGCTTGGGATGCACCAGAAGACATTTGGCTGGAAGTTGGCAGCCCACCCGATGGATTGACAGGTTGCAATACAACAGGAACCACAGTGCCCCTCACGCCCACTGGAGGAACAGAAGAAACTACCTTCGGAGATGTGTATTTGCGTTTTGCGCCTACTGTACCAGCTGCCTGAATTGCAAGTTTCTGGGCACGTGACCAAGGATGGTTTGAAGCTGAGAAAGGTATATCATTTCTTCTGATCATTTGAACATGTGGGGCTATGTCATTTTCAGCTGTAACGGGAACATAATGTCCTGGCTTGAAAACAATACCTCTCAAAGTTGTATTGGAGTTGCCGATTCTAACAGTGAGCACATAGCCAGCATCAAAAGTGGCCTCAACAACCCCAGTCACTGCCTGGCCAACCATATTGTCATTTCCATCTACTCTATCCACCTTATGGGGACGGTGGTTTCCTTGCGCTCCTGCAAAACCAGGAGGTCCACGTGCAGTTTTAACACGCTTTAAGTTTGGATCTTTCCTAGGGCGGCCACGTCCCCGCTTCGCTGCTGGTACTGAAGGAGCACTACAATCGTCCCCTTGGAAAACTTGATTCATGTTCAGAATTACTGCTAGCTGACAACAACGCTTGTATAGATCTTTGGCCCTGCAAACAAATAAACCAACAAATTAAAAATTTTACCGCATCTTCACCTTCCTAACGTATGATGGTTCTAGGTAGCTCTAACAGTAAATTGCATAAATTGGAAGTGAATTCACCTATTTTCATTTATTCAGATAAAACAAACAAATTTAACTCCAAAAGCAAAGAATGCATCTAAGTCACTTTTGAAGATTCAACATTAGCTAATGCACCTTGGGGCTGAGACTACACATGTTAGATATGAAACTCAGCACAAGAATAACAACGAAAAGTTCATTGGGAATCGTCAAAAAATACTACAAGAACAATATGACCTGCACAAACAGAGTAGCAAACTAATCTGAATCAACATTTCAGCAACTTGATTTTGTAATTTTAAAGTGCCTCTATCCACCTAATCATAAAATCAAATTAAAAAGAAAATAACACAAACAGAAAGAAACATATATACAACAAAAATTTAAAGATCTAGACCATAACAAATAAAATGGCAGACGTATATGCTAGGGATAAAAAAATAAAACTCAGGTAGTGCTGATTGATTCTTTCTGGGTAAAAAGATAAGCTGAGGGAGGAGCAACGTTGAACCCTACATACATTTACAGAAACAGAAACAAAACATGGCTATTAACAGAAGTGTGGTAAATGGAGAAAATCATCTAGACTTGTATATAATGTTGAACACAAGGTTGTCAAAGTAATGATGCCATCATCATGACTCAAACCAAACCATCCATATAGAGCATATAAATATAAAAATAGGAACAATGACCTTTTACTCCATCTTTATTTGCCAAGGCATTATACTTTTTTAATATCATTTACTCCAACAATGATCTGATTGAGATTTACACAATCTTAAACAGATAATGAAAATGATAGAAAGCGCAACAGATTACTCGTCACCCACAGAATTACATGATTTCTGATAAAAATAATAACACCAAGGTAAACCTTGATGACTTCCTGTCTACGGCATTGTCATTTAAGTCTAGAGGCTCGTACTATTTTTATTTACATCTCATTGATCCATCGTGATAAATGCGGCTAAGATTTCCCATACCAGACAAGATGGACATTAAATAGGAGCTATTTTCATCTTCTATTCATTTACAAATAAGAACACAACTTCAATATGATATCAAATAGAAAAGTAGTGCAAGAAGAAGCTGACTAACATATATAAAACAAAATTCTCATGTTCTTGTTCATTATAAAATAACAATCCCTATCTTAGAAAAGTAGGTTGAGCCTCAAATACTGAAATCAACAACTCATAAAAACGACTAAATTCCAATCAACATACAACTAAAAGTACTGATTAAAACTGTCTCAATTTCAATTGGTATCATAGCCGAACAACAAAGCAAGAAGCAAATTCTAACAATGGTGCAACAACTCGATTGCATAAAAATTGTTGAGTTTTTGCAAGATGAATGAAATATCAAGACAATGGGGTGCGAACTTGAATTCACCACAAAAAAGTGGCCACGATATCAAACATAATAAATCGTCATGATACGAAAATATTTTGACCCAAGCAATGAATTTGTCCAATGAAAGCAAGCTATTCTGTTCGCTAAAGATTCTATAATTGGAACTTGTACTCCAAAAGAATAGGGATGTCAATAGGAAGGGTTCAGGATGAGGTGGCATTTCGTGCCCCCTGTGAAATTTCTCCGTGTTCCACTTAAGCCGAGCCATGCCGGGACACTTATTTGGTCCATTTACTGTCTCGTTTACATATATTTTTTTATTGTTTAAATGATACTAAACGAGATATGCATCTTCGCCTTGAGCCCGATTCCAGGCAAGGTCTCTTGCCCCCCAACATGAGGAATTCCCCTCCCATTTAGGTCGAGGCCCCACGGATCTCCGATCAACTGGTTTTATTGCCATCCCTACTAAAGAAGCATAATGCCATATGTTTGCATTTGTTTCATCAGTGCAATAGCTCATTTTGATGGTGGTACAAAAGAAAATAGAAATAATCTTAAATGCTAAGAGCTACCAATGTTGATTTTCCAGAGAACTTCTAATGTTCATTGTCAAGATTAAGATTCATGCCAAGTTTCAGTCTCATGAAGCCATTACGAAACTTGTGTTCTTAAATGTACACAAAATTACGAAGAGATGTTGCCTTCATGAGAAACCATCCATATAGAGCATATGAATGGTTGATAAGTGGGTAGTACTAGTGAGTTCTACGAAATGTGTGGATAATGACCAAAAGTGCATATAATCTAAAGACTAGTCAAACACAGGATTAACCAGTATGTAGGTTACCTTTTAACTTGTATTACTTGCCTAATTTTACCGCTATACTTCTTTAATATAATTTACTACAGCAATAATCTGTTTAAGATTTCATACAGTCTCAAACAGATATTGAACATGATAGGTAGCAGCACACAACAAATTACATGGTCTGTGAGCAAAATGATAAACTGCATGGTAAACTTTGATGAGTAATATGGCTATGACATTATTGTTTCAATGTACAAGCATGCGTTTTGTGAAGTAACAAAAAGAATAATAAAACAGGTGAAAATTTGGGTTCAAGAAATTGAAAATTAAATAAGAGAGTAGTGCTACAACCTAAAGAAGCAAAATTTGGTACACGCTGAAACTCTCTTGACAAGGGTATGGGGCACACTGCCAAGAGTGTGTCCCACCACCATTCTGTGCAACTGCTGAGGGCCTGAGGCGTGTCAAAATTCAGCTTATATAGAAACTTATTTAAAAAAACTTGGCATGTACAGACCACAGTTAACTTAATTCATGGGAAATTACAAAATGTAACAGTATTGCAGCTTTTTCACCTGACGTACCCATTAGCTCATAGTAATAAAGGTGGTAAGACTTCCTATTTGAGATAACATGAGCATTAAATAGGAGATATTTTAGTTTATCTTCTATTCTTTTCTAAGTAAGAATGCAGGTTCAAAATGGCATAAAATGAAAGAGTGGTGCAAGAAGAAACTGACTCGTACATAGAAAACAAAATACTTGTGTTCTCTTTTGTTCTTTATACGATTAACAAGCCCTATCTTTCTTCTTCATGGACAAGTAGGCTGAGGCTCAAAGACTTCATATCACAGCACATAGACAATTCTAAAAGCACCTAAATTTCAATCAACAAAAATACTAAGAACAACAAAGTTTCAATCAACATGCACCAAATAATAGTAACTAAAAAGGCCTAATTTTCAATCGATATGCAACAAAATATACTAACTAAAAAAGAACTAAAACTAAAACTAAAAACGCCTAAATTTCAATTAACATGCAACAAAAAAGAACTAAAACTAAAAACGCCTAAATTTCAGGGAAAAAAAAGGATTATAACACCCAAATCCGCACCAACAAATTATAGTAAAAAAAACCTTCTGATACTTCACAGAAACGAAGTTTGATCCTTTTACAATAACACAGCAACTTTTTGCAGAAAAAGTGATTATATAACCAAAATTACAAAATAAACGTAGTGAAAGGGTGAGATTGCAGGTATGACGAAGATGAAAGAGCAATAGATTAAAGCAAAATTAAGAAAATAATAACTAAATAAAAATCAGAATTTGATGATAATTGAAAACTTTACCTTCGAAGAGTTACTGAGCGATTGCGGGGGTAATTACTATTTAAGATAAAGATTAAATACAGTGAGAGGGTAATTAAGAACCCTAGAATGGTTGAGTACAGAATACACAGTGTTGACAGATGGTGAATTAATTGAAAGAGGTTTTGGGAAGTTAGAGGGTTGAATCGCCACCCAACTTTATAAACTGCCCATCATAATCCAAACAATGTTTTATCTAGTTGCCTAATTTTATATAATATTAAACTCTTATTTGAATCACGTTAGAAAGAAAATATATTTTTAAATAGTATATTGATGAAAAATATATGATTAAAAAAAATGAAAAATTTTAAATTTACGTGTAATATTATTCTTTTCACTATTATTCACTACTTTTGAAAGAGACATTTAAAAGAGATAAAACTGTGATTTTATATTATATATACAATAAATTTAAAAACTTATTTTTAAAAAATTAAAATAAAAACTTTTTCTAAATAAAATAAAAACTTATTTTAAAGAGATGTTACTTAAAAAATAAATTAAAACATATTTTTTTAAAAATGTTTTAAAATAAGATAATAACTTATTTAAAAAAAAGTTACTTAAAAAATAAAATAAAATTTTTTAAAATGAAATAAAAACATATTTTAAAAAAAGTTTTTAAAATAAAATAAAAACTTATTTTAAAAAGTCACTAAGAAAAATAAAATTAAATAAACACTTATTTTAAAAAAAAAGCTTTTTAAATTAAGAAAAACTTTTATTTTTATTTTTTAAAAATTTATTTTACATATATTATGCAGAGTTATTGTTTTACCCTTTTTAAAATTAGTGAAAATGATTAAAAGAAGTGATGTGATTATGGTGAAATATTATATGAAATTAGGTGACTATGATGAAATAAAATCAAATTATATCATGATGACGCTAAATATAAAGTTGGTTGATCATTGGTGAAATTAACCCAAGTCAGAAGGATATTAATAATGGGTTATGTTATGCATACATCATGGTGTCTATAACGGTGTCCATTTCCCTCACATGGAGGGAGACACATTTCGAATAAAATATAATTTATCCAAAGTGAGTTCCCTTTTATGTAAGGATGGTGGACACCTTTATGGACCACATTCTGTAGGAGTAACATTTTCCATTAATAATTATATTTTCTTAATTAATGGCAAAGTTAATTGTGCTCCGAAATTCAAGGAATTAAAAATTAATAGAATTTGTAGTATTGTGCTTAAAGCATCTTCAATATGTTCTTTAAACATGATATGGTCTTTATTTTAAAGAGTCGACCCTTAAAATCATGCTCTAAGAGAATCTTAAAATTAATATTTTAATTTGAAATGTTTTCAATTTTCAATGTAGGAAAATAATAAAATACTTTAAAGAAAACTAATAGAAATAAAAGAACAATTTCAACAAAAGTCTCAAACCTTTGAAACACGAGTATATTTTTTTCAAACATTTGATTTGTTGCAGCCGTTATCCTAACCTTTCAAACGTTACAGGTGAAATCCTTTTGGACAATTTCTATCCACAATTCTATCGGTTGAACAATAATTTTTAACTTTGAACATTTTTGATATTTTAGAAATGAGCAAAAGAGTAACTTTTCTAATTATCAAATTAAATAAAAAAAACACACACACACAAATCATCTTCTTCCTCTCACCCCTCACTCACCCCTGCTTCAAACCCAAAATTCACTCCAACCTCATTAAAGAATGGATAATTGGCTAATTGGCTTCCTGCAAAACGCTTGGACATTGTATTCCATGATAGCCAATTGGACATTGTACCGGCGTGTAAAATGGCAGCACATGGTCCAGCAACCTAAGCTTCTTTCACCAAATCTTCTAATTGGGTTTTTCTCACTACTTTATTGGCCCAATCATATTATACATTCAGGCTCAAATCTAGGTTCAAATTCAAATGAGACACGTATCGACACATAATTGGACAATTTGAAAAATTAAAATAAAAACACTCAATCATTTTCTGATACATCAATATGTCTGCACTCCCCTATTTTTAAACCTCGATAAATGGCTTTATTCTTATTGGTCAAAGGTGAAGTGCATTGGTCAAATTTGTATGTTGCTTCATCCACCTAATATTATGAACACTTGTATTTAGACAATGGAAACGAACAAAAAGACCCACATCTTGCCCATGAAACAAATACAAAGAATTAAAAGCATATTGCCAAAAAAATGGACGCGGGTATAAACGGGGGAGTGATGAAATGTTAAGATTTATTACATAAATTAAAGGTTTTTCTTAAATTTTCATTTTTTGGATCGATGGTTTGAAGGGTTGATTTGGTTGCAGTCAGGCAATTTCATTCATCTTACGAGTGCTTTGATTTAGGAGCATGACTCTTGATTGATGTGGAGGTGGAGACGACGGTGATGGGTGGATTTTTGGTTTGAGGGAGAGGTGGGGGTAGGAGAGGCGTGAGAGGAAGAAGACGATTTGTGTGTGTTTTTTTTTATTTTTATTTTTAATTATTTAATGTGATAGATAAAAAGTTATACTTTTGTCCATTTTTAAAATATTAAATATGTTATCAAAGTTAAATTTTTGATCAACTAACAGCATTGAAGATGGAAACTATCCAAAAAAACTTCACCTGTAATATTTGAAAATGTTAGAGGTAACAACTGCAACAAATCAAATGTTTGATAAAATCTTGCTAGTGTTTCAAATGCTTGGGATTTTTGCTGTAATTATCACTAAAATAAAATATAGAGAACAATAATAATTTTTTTAGAGTAATAAAAATAAATGTTAAATTTGAAAAGCTTGTTGAAGTACTTCAAAACTCAACTATTTGAAAATGTAAAAGATCAAAGAGAGTCGTATTGTTAATAAAAAAATAACACGTTGACATAAATAAGATGTTTATAATTTTGAATCGACTCATTTTTGGGTCTAAACTAGTTGGTTTTTAAATGAATTTTTAATGAGTTTTAAATTTTGATTTTGTTGTATGCATTAGTGGTTTCAAATTGAAGAAATCATCCGATTAAATTATTATTAATCGTTTATTTGGCAAAAAAATTAGGAAAAATTGCAATAGAAACTCCAAATCTTTGAAATATTAGTAGACTTTCCCCAAACCTTTGATTTGTTGTGGCCGTCACCTTTAACCTTTGATTTGTTACAACCATCACCCTTAATATTTTCAAATGTTGCAGATGAAGCCCTTTTAGATGGTTTCCATCCAAGATTTCATCAGTTGATCAAAAATTTAACTTTAACCACATTTTTAATATTTTAAAAGGGGTAAAAGAGTAATTTTCGATTTATTCTCTTAAAATAATTAATCTAAAATATAAAAAATAAAAAACGCACACTCATCTTCTTCACCCACCCCCACCTCAAACCCAAAATCCATCCTACCGTCGCCACATCCACCTCCACGACAACCTGCTACTGGCCACCATTATCCACTCCATCACCAAACGCCGTCCAACCACCCAACCCCCAAAAATGTAGAAATTTCCAATTTCAAACCCCAAAAATCGTGCTTTTTTGTAGTTGAATGAATGGATTGAAGCTATATCTACTATTTTTTTAGATTTTGATAAGTTGATGCTGTTGGTACCCGTACTACTACCCCCTCACCACTGTCGCCTCTCCCGATCGAAGCATTTTCTCCGACGTCACCACATTTCAGAAAATAATATTTCAAAATATTTTTATATAATATTTATATAATGATATTAGCTCATTGCCTGCTGTTAATAGCTAAATAGTGGGGTAATTGCAGAAGAAAAAACTGTGGTAAACAAGTAAATAAGTTGGATTTCTTGGGGAAAATGAATGGAGTCTTTGGCAATTTGAAGATTGACGTGATACAGCAAGATTGGTTTTATGTTAGTGAAAGATTTGTCAAAAAAATTGAGAGAAACGGCTTGTTGGGTAGTGATTATGGTGGTCGGTATCAGGTGGTTGTGGAGGTGGTGTTGGTAGGGTGGATTTTGGGTTGAGGTTGGGTGGGGGTGGGTGAAGAAGACGAGTGTGTGTTTTTTATTTTTTTATTTCTTATTTTTTAAATTAATTATTTTTAGTAGAATAAATGGAAAGTTACTTGTTTACCCTGTTTTAAAATATTAAAAATGTGATCAAAGTTAAATTTCTTGTCAACTGACGGAATTTTGGATAGAAACCGTCCAAAAAGGCTTCACCTACAACGTTTGAAAATGTTAGGGGTAATGGTTGCAACGAATCAAAGGTTAGAAGTAACAGCTGCAACAAATCAAAAGTTTGGAAAAAGCCTGTTAATATTTTAAAGGTTTGGAGCTTCTACTGTAATTTTTCCAAAAAATTATTAAATTAAAATTGCGAATCATATGAAATGGGTGAAGAAAAGTGGGTAAAATTTATGAATCCTACTAAATATTTAAATAAGAATAGAATTTAATATTTTATAAATAATTTTTTTGTCAAACATGAATGTGCACGGCACCAATTAGCTACCACTTAAGAAATTGAATAGGCGGACAAAAAAAATTTAGAAAAAATTAAAAAAGGAGAGAGAAAACAAATAAAAAGGAAAGAGAAAAAAGAAAAATAAATAATATATATATAGAAGAATTCTAACATACTTCCATTTGAAAGAATCAATCCACAAGAAAAGCTTCAACAAGACGATTCTATATTTGCATGCGATATGATTGTCCATTTAAATCATGACACCTCCATGTCTAATGTGGTAAAAGAGTAACAAAGTGAGTGTGCAACGCCAACGTATCGCGACTTGATTGGCTTGAAGTTTGGATGTCGTGATTTTAAAGAATGATTCTATCACGTGTATATATTGGATCTTGTCATTGAAGCTTTTTTCCCATCCCAACCAAAATAACCCGACATCTTACCCCATGTCTGCACCTTAGGTAGTTATTGCCATCACCACACCGTTAAGGATTTTCAAGAAGTGCGGATTTAGAATTAAAATATGTTTGTATATCATTCCATTTAATTATTATTATTTATAAATATGTTTCACTTTTCGAAAACATAAATTTTTAATACAATAAAAATAATTATGGACTGACTTGAAAATTCAAGGAGAGGATTGTGTTCCTCGTTCCTGAATGGTAAATAATGTGAGACAATGTGCGTTAAAATCTCAGGACGCAACTGAAATTTGTGAGAAGCAATATGAATTCAGGTTCTTTTAATGCGGATAGTACATAAGTTAACGGCTAGGACACATAGGTTGGATCGTTACATGACCATTTGGGCCGACGATTTGTAACTAACAAAAATTTGATTTTTCCAGCAAGAACCCGTGCAATAAAAATAGTGAGTATATTATATTTATATTTGAAGAGTAATAGGTAAATGACACAGGGAAATGAGTTGATTTCGATGAAGAAGCTGATAAGTTGATTTTGGCAGAAATTTGTGCAGAAAAGACGACGATAAGGATGGTTATGGTTTATGGCATGGGTGCATGATGATCTAGTTATTTTCCAGTGTCAAGTTAGATCGGGGGTGGGATGAGGTTAAGAAGAAGATAAGTTTTATATTATCTTTTTTACTTTTTATTTTATTAAATTAAATTTTAACTTACTTTACGTGTAAATGCAAGTTAACCTTTTAAGATTAGTTAAAGCCAAATTTCTAGGCCAACTAACGGTTTTATGGATAGAAATCCATTTATTTGTCCTTATGAGGTAATGAAATGAAAGGTTTGAAATCATGGTTGTTACAAACGAAAGATTTGGATAAAGTTTGCAAAAAAGAAAAGATTTTGGACCGCAGCTGCAATTATACTTAATTATAATATATATTACTATTTTTATTTTAAAATTATGAAGTAGTTAATCGTTAATTCCAATTTTCGTTCAACTAGTCAATTTCTGAACCGGTTTTACAATATTGCCATTACCCGTTGTAGAGATTCGGATCCCGCCGTTAAACCCAAGCTTTAACCCGACCCATTTCCATAAATGTCCATTTTAAACTTTATCCTGACCAATTCCAATATGCATATAAGAAATGAACAGCTGCACATCTCCTGAGAATCTGAGATTCTTTCAATTTGCAGCACAATTCGAAAAATCTCAATCCTTTCCATTAATTGCTAATAAAAATCATTGTAATGAAATTAATCCTATAATAAACTGGCTCTTTTCTAAAGATCCCGATTTCGCTTTATCTTTTTTGCTATTTATCTTCAGGGCAAAGCATTCTTTGCACGTTACCTAGATCCAAAATTCTCCCAGCTTTAACTTTCATTCTGCAAATTTTACGGGTACCACTCTGATGAATTATCTGTTTTTTCGTTTACCGAAGGATTGTTAATTAAGTTTTTATTGGGGGAGGGCCGAGGGATTACAATTTCATTTCTTTTAGTTTGAAACGCCATTGGAGTTCTATATGGTTCTCTGGGTTATCTAAATTCTAATTATAAGCTGGAAAGCATGTTTTATGGTTGTCCTGGAAATTATTTATTTAGGTATTGAAGTTACTTAATATCACCGTGTTTCCACTTATTTGATTCAATGATTGTGCATTTTTATTGTTTTTCTTCTAGAGATTACAGTTTCATTTCTTTTAGCATCGAATGTCATCAGGGCTCTTTTTGATTTTTCGGTTTATCTAGACTCTAGTTATAAGCTGAAAAGTATGCTTTACCCTTTAACTGAACATGATTTATTTTTCTTTGATTTACTTATTATTGAAGTGTTGACACTTAGTTGATTCAGCGATTGTGTATAATTGTTTATCATGAATATCACTCATTCAACCTGTTACTTTCTTATAGCCAATGATTTGTTCTTTTAATAATGAGTCATTGATTCTTTTCCTTGTGAACCAGCTATCAATCATGAATCTTCATAAACTGTACATCTCCTACTGATGATTTTCAAATAACCATTCATTAAATTTGTGATAGTTTCAGGTGTTAAACAATGGAAGGTATTATAGTTAGGAGAGTTATCCCTTCCGATAACTGTTGCCTCTTTAATGCTGTTGGGTGAGCTTTTAATCTTTATTTATTTTAGCCTGTGAAAAAGGAAAAAAGTTTGTATTCCAAAATTATCTCAGTCAAAATTTGGAGAATTTACATATGTACTTAGTAATTAACTTATCGTGTGCAGTTATGTCATGGACCACGACAAAAATAAAGCACCTGAGCTAAGACAGGTTATAAATTGTATTTTGTTATGTATGCAAAATAATTAATTATAAATTGTAATTTGTTATGTATGCAAGATAATTAATTCTTAGATCATGCCACTTGTAATTCATTCAACGTGCTGATGCTTTTAATGCTAAAACTAGTTTTTGAGATTCAAGTTACGGAGAGGATGAAATTTTTTTATGAATTTATAGCTTTTATTCTCAGCATCAATACAAGAGTTTTTAAATTTGAGAAGAGAAAATGAATAAAAGAAATATCTGTTTCTTTTTGGATTGGGGAGTACGAGGAATGACTATGCAACTCCAAAGCTCAGAATACTTAAATTGAGCATGTCTGCTGTCAAATGGGTCTAGTCCTTTTTTTTGTCCTTTCATTAAGCTTGGCATTTTATATTTTTATTTAGGTTATAGCTGCAACTGTGGCCAGTGATCCAGAAAAATTTTCTGAAGCATTCCTTGGAAAGCCTAATGAAGAGTATTGTGCATGGATTCTTGACCCAGAGAAATGGGGAGGTAAGTGTTCCATATAGACGAACTACGTATCAATGCTGAGGCAGCTGTGTTGAGAATGCAATTTTCTTGTCTACTTCCTCGTTTTGGTATTGAAGTGTTTATATCATAGGTTGGGAGTCCACACATTTTTCTATACAGAATTTGTACGTTGGATCCATTACTTTGTTTATTGTCACGAAGTGTAATATAATACGATAATGTTTACCTCTTACGGTTTTACAATATTTATACCCTCTACTTTTGTTCATTTTTTTTGCTCTCTTTTCTTTTTCTTCATTTTCCTAGTGAAATAATACTATGGAATGTTTGAACAAACAACAATCTTCAGCTTTTCTAAGTGCAATTTCTTTTTTATCCATCAACAAAAGCAGTTGCTTGCGTCTTTTCTCATCTGCCGTCCTTTGGTCTGTAATTTGTTGCTTTTATGAGCAAATAATCGCATAAAAGTTCACGACAATGACTTAAACTGATATTGGCCTTTTAGCTTGCCAAAACTGCTTTCCACATGGTTAACTTTGTTGGATCTCCATCACGTCTCTCTCTCATCTGTGCCCATAATCAGAGATCCAACTGGGGTATTTTGGAGATAACCGTGAAGCACTTTAATATTTCCTTTGACTGTTCACTATCAATTGCATGCTCGTGTCAAAAATCAGTGATTATTTGGGGGAATTTTTTCCAGTATTGGAAATTGAGAATAACGTATCGAAATGTAAGAAGCTTTTCTTCTAATGTAACTGACTTTGAGAGCAATTCAAATTTATATTTTTATCAAATAAGTTTGCCTTTAAATCTTTTATGAACAGGAAAGTAGTTGGAACAGGGATTACTGGACACCTTGAATCGATTCGAAGGTCTATCTTTGAGGAGATTAAAATTTCTATACTTGCTAGCAACTGGCTCGATGCCATCATTCTTAACCTTTAATGGCATCTTGGTGATGATCATGTTTAAGTTCTTACAAAATTATCTCAATATTTGTTGAGAAAATTCCTTTTCTTCAGTCCACAGCGATGACACTTGTTTTCTGTTGGGCCAGAGCCTCTTGGATTGCATCAACATTGTGCCTACATAGGGTTATTTGTTACAGTATTGCACAATGAATATCAAAGTGTGTTAATTCATCTGCATAGTTGAACTCTCTTTGTTTTTTTTTATCTTAAGGTGGCATTGAGCTTGCAATACTGGCTGAGTATTATGGGCGTGAGATTGCAGCATATGATATACAAACCACCAGATGTGATTTGTATGGACAGGTTGAGTTGAATGTCTCTTCAAAATTCTTTATAATATCGTTTTGGATTTCTTACTATTTTTTAATCTTCCTTCTTTGGGATTTTAATAACAGGGAAAAAACTACCGCGAAAGAGTTATGCTGATCTATGATGGACTGCATTATGATGCTTTAGCTGTATGTCGTTTCCCCTCTCAACTCCAACCCCGACCCCACCACCACCACTCACTTATGCCACCAATACGCACCCCATCAAAACAACCCCCTCCCTCTTGACATTATTTGTGTGTGTCCAAGAGTCTGACTGTGTGAATGTTTATAAGTTATTACATTCTTATATGACCTAATTAGAAATCGATCAAGAAGTGGGTCCATTTGTGGAAAACTAACATGCTACCAGCCTATGCTTTTGGACTAGCCATGTATACGAGCTTATAAAATTTAATAGATGTTGACATTCTGATAGAATACGAACCAGACAGTTAATCTGTAAGTTAGGGGACGGAAAAAAGTGAGTAATGATTTGATAGCAACATTTTTAAGTACTTCAAGAGGTAAAGAGAGCAGATGGCATGAGTGAGAGTTTTCCAAATGTGAAACATCAGTATAACTTGAGTCTGGCGTCTATAATTTCTGGTTTTCAAATTATATAGATTGTACTTGTTTGTTAAGAATGATACGCTGTCTACCTTTCAACAGATGTCTCCTGCCGAAGGAGCTCCAGAAGAGTTTGATCAGACGATATTTCCTGTGCAAGTGGACCGGACCGTGGGGCCAGCCGAGAGACTCGTCCTTAATTTGGTTAAAGACCAGCAAAGGTATCTCAATATATTTCTTTTTAGTAGTTGCTTGATAGAAACTACTAAATAACCCAATCATTCTTACTCCAAAATTTTGAGTGTAAATTGTTATTGGAATGACACTGTTATTATCCCCGGTTGTGTCTCTTTCATTTCATCTGTTTCTGTTATGTTGGTTCTTTATAGTCATTTTAATAGCATTTTGCAACCTTTGCAGGAAAAGGAGTTATACTGACACTGCTAACTTCACTTTGCGATGCGGTGTCTGCCAAATTGGAGTTATTGGCCAGAAGGTTTTAAGCCCTTCATCTTTTCCTTTCTTACATCGTGTTTGCCTAAGCTTAAAAAGTCAACCGATTAAAAAATTTACTTATAAATCAATATCTAAAAGCATGTTTGGAACATATTTATATATGGTTTAAATTATAAATAAATGAAAATAAGCATGTTGCTAAGTAGTATTTTTTTAAATATCTCGAAATATGTGAATAATAAGTCAGTATTTGAGTCCCATTTTTATCAAAACTCCTTTTCAACTATATAGTTTCCTACAAAATTTTTTTATACATAAATTCATAATTTACTTTTTAATCACATTCTTCAAAAATCACTATTACAAAATTTATTTTTCTCGAAAAAATTAAGCTTAAACAAGGGCTAAGTAGCTTGAGTGTTTAACAAAAAGTTTATAAACATGAGCCAAACATGAGCCTTTCATAACGAATCAATTTCTTTATGGTCATAGTTGAAGATACTAAGCAATGAGTTTGTTTGGAGATTAAGCAACTTTTTTTACTTTAAAAAGTAAGGAAAAAGTAACACGTAGGACCTGTTTGGTGCCGATTATGAGAATTGATTTTTTGACCGTTAGTTTGAAATGTGAGTAAAAAAGTCAAGAATAACGATTGACTATGGTAAATAATGGTCAAAAATTTGATTTTTTTGCTTGAAAAATCAGAATCAAATGGAGGCTTAAATAAACAAAAAGTGACTTCAGAGTAATTCTACTTTTTTTAAGCATAGCCATATGGGCTCTCAATCCCATCATCAAAATTTTCAAGTTTTTACAATTCTTCTCGTTATATTCGCGTTTAACTTCGCAGGAAGCAGTGGAGCATGCACAAGCAACAGGCCATGTGAACTTCCAGGAATATAAATGATTTATCCGTTGCCATAAACCTGCAATGTTGTTTCAGCAAGTTTGACACTGTGTCGTGTTTTGTGGAAGAAGAAAACATTTAGATTCGTTGCATTTTCTGATTCCTTGTGTTTGTTGTAATATTGAAGAATTTTTGGATTTGAAAAGGATACGTGTAGACAATTGAATGCAAACTTCTTTGTTTTAAGGTATTATTGAGTCCTAGGCTTAATCCGACAGCCAAATAGGAATATGCTTCAACCTGATCATTAGAATCTAGTATCAGGTACGTTTTAGTTCAGATCTTCTCATTCAAAATCTACAGAGATGAAGCCACAACCCCTCAAGTAAAAGCCATGTCTAGAGCTTATATTAACTTAAAACTGCACCAAATGAATTTGGACACAAGCACTGTGAGATGCTATTGTAGAGCAGCTATGCACTCGATTTCGACCCTTGCATCCAATGGTAGTGCTGCCACCTGGTAAGTTGAACGAGCCGGTGGAGGCAATGGAAAATCTGCCACACAAGTTACCCAAGTTGTACTAAATTTAAAACTACATGTAGCTACGAAATAGTTTTCAGCTAAATACAGTTTAGCACAATGGTTGAAAGAAGGAAAATTGTCAACCCGACATTTTGATGGACGCGTGCAAATTGTTCAAATGATAAACAATACTTTAGTTTCTAGTCCCAATAAACTTGGGGTTGGTTGTGAATCGTCTTTTGCCATTTCATTTAATGTTGAACTTCCTCCTCTAATACCTCTAAAGAAGTCAAAGATTTTACCAACACCTCGAGGCTCAGGCCAACTCCTCTAGTATGTTCTAATAGTAGCAAAACCGTGGATTTCTTTGGAATTATGCAAGACATAGCCCATACAGCTATGCAGTGGTCGTAGATGTAATTCATTGCAAACTTAAATAGCATTGGAATTCATAATGAAGAAAAAGTCACAACGATTTTAACAAAGAACAAAAACTATCATAGAGTAGTAGCTTAGAATGAAGCTCATGCCATCTCCAGAAATTCAAAATATAATTATTACATAGAGATTACATTTCTAGAAATCCAACAACCATCAAAACAGACTTTTTTGTGCAGATCTACTAACATTTATAGGTTCAACTATTTACCATTTTTGTGCAGATCTGCTAACATAGAGATTCGTATTTTTACATGATTCACTATTTACTTCTCCTATATATGTTCTCATTATTCTATCCTTCCAAATCCCAAATGACAGCAGCTTACCCAAGCTGCTAAATCCATTAATCTATATGTAATTCGGCTCAACATGAGTATATAAGCTCTTTCAGTTACTAAAATCTTGCACAATTTTCCAATTTCCATTTTCCTTTAATAATAATATAACTGGTACTAAATAACAAAAAGGGGGAACTGAATTGGATAAAATTTTCTGGAAATAGAATGTTTCAAAGGGTAACACCTTTTGCTATTGCGTGTGACATAAAGAAATCAGCTATGCGTGTTACTCTACCAAAGGTTTCTGGTAATTTAATGAAGACACTAGCCTAAGAAGGCTTCCACTCTTATATTCTTTGTAAATTCTCATAATGGATTTTTATAACCCATATTCAGGTTCGTTCATCCTGTAACCACGAAATGAGTTGACAGTATTTTCATGGAGTATTTAAATCTCAAATCTATATGAACAATACAGTTGACTTCAATTCTGTGAACTTACATTTAGCATAGATCTCATTTACTTTCTCGAAGTCTTTGAGATCAGCCAACCTGTGAAGAAACATGACATAGTGTCAACTGTGAAACCCAAAATCATTCTAATGATGAAATGCGTATTAGTGCAAGTTTCATGTGTCTGCCTGCATGCAAGAGAGAAAGAGAGATGCTCAAAGAATTCAAATTCAACAAGATCACGCACATGATTGTTGTTTTGACCACCGAGGAATAGCTGGCACCGCTTGCTTTAAGTATCTCACCCATATTCTTAAGAACCTAGAAATACATGCACGCTCTTAAACATGTCAGTACGCCATTCACCTTGTGATCAGAAACTAACTAATGCTTAGTTTTTTTGCTCTCATTGTTGCTATTCTTTCTGACATATTCTTTAAAAGAGAATTACAAGAGGAGTGCAAATATCAGAAATACCTGCTCAGTTTGATCCTCTACACTATCTGAGACAAACTTCCCTGTCTACACTTAAATCTTGAAAATTAGTTTACAACCACCATAGTATATTATGTAGTATATGCAAAATTAAATATGAAAATATTTCATAATATGTGATCTAAAATGTCAAACCTCTGGAATTAGCCCAAGAACCCCAGACACGAAAAGCATATTGTTTGCTTTAATGGCTTGAGAATATGGCCCCAATGCTGCTGGAGCCTTTTCTGTTTGAATGGCTTCCTTTATGCCTAAGTTCATTTAGATAATGGTATGAGCATCATGCACCACAAGGCAAAGACATAAAGAAATGACAAAAATGAATTGCATATCTTAGAGAAGGTCTTTTCCTTGAATTGAAAGAAATTAGATTACCCCAATACCAAATACAAGTCAGTAACATAAAGGGCTAAATTACACTGACGGGAAAAAGGCACAAGTTACATTACTTGCATTTGTCAACTCTTCCTTCTGAAAGAAATCAATTGGATTATTAAAAATAAAAAAGAAAGTAGATTGTGTTGGCTTTTGTACATCATGAAGAATCAATACCGGTTACTGAAAACAATCCTAAGAGCAGTGGTAGCCACCCCAATCCCTTTTCTCAAGAGGGTATATGCAGCATTGGCATTGAACTGGCAGCATATTACTGTTTCTTTATGAATGATCATACAACAAAGTCATCTAAAAGCCCACTTGGCAAGACTTTGGAAAGTCAAAAGCTGCTCCTGGCATTAAGAAGCTGCTTTTGAACATGTTTTCGATAATCTTCTGGAAATACTTTATCAACTCCAAATAACAAAAAAAGACAAGTATACAATGTGATCAGCACTGCAACTTTCATAAATCAATTCACATTCATAGTCACGAATCATTACCTCTCAAGTGTAGAATTGAACTGCTTTCACTTTGAGGCACATCTATAGTATAATATAGCAACACATATCTTCTACTTTATCTACTAAGCATATAGCACTATTCACTAAGCAAATTGGCTAGTTTAGTGCATATTCATCTCAATTAGTAGTCATAAACGACTCAACTTCCGCGGTTGAAACAGAGAGTGATGTAATCTATATTCAACAATTTCAGAAATACAGAAATTAGTTATAATTCGCAACTTAATTATACCAATTTTCATTTTGAAGTTCTATTTTTTTAATTACAGTCCGTTTAAAAGCAATTAGACAGTCCTGGAACAAGCAGCAACCAATAATCACGCGGTACAATACTTTAATGCAGCATTTCAGTTCAAACGGCCGAATTCTTTTCTGTTTCACCAACACATTTCAAATAAATTGAACTGAAATCCAAAGGAGCGAGAATGAGTGGAAACTCACTGGCAGTGGAATCAGTAGAAATGCCTAAGGATGCGAAGGGCGTCGATGAAGATGCCGAGGCAGGGCGGCGCATGTTAACGGCGGCCAAGGATACGAAGCCGACACCTGCGGCTAATGGAAGCCGATACGTAGTGTGCCAATATCGATCGCCGGCATTTGGAAGATCCTTGCAGCGGCGGACCAAGCCATGAGTCGTTCTACTTGCAGCGACCTGTATTTTTCAATGGCGATATTTCTATGGCCGGCGTCTACTTTTATTCTAAAAAGAATCTTTTTGTGTGTGGTTTAAATTCTTTGATCACCATTCAACTTTATTTTAAGAATTCGTTTGATTGTAAAAATGGAATTGAATTGCCTAGAAAATGAATTTCAGGTAATTGAATTGGCTAGAATTATTTTTCTGAAAATTGTAAATTATTGTGTTTGATTGATATAATTTTTCACGTGAAAAATGTTGAAATAAAAATATTTTTTAATATTCGTTTGGTTTTATTTTATATGAAAATTGTCAATTAAAGGGAAATATTCTTTTTACAATAATTTTTAGAATTGATTTCCATTACCAAAAAAAAAAGATGAAAAAAATAAAAATAATAATCATTATAGTAGGGTGGAATTTGAATTCTCACCATATATGGTGAGAATTCAAATTCCACTAAAACAAGGAAAATTTCAAGTTCCAAGAAATCCAAGAAATGCAATTCCATGGAAAATATAAGGTATCAAACATCAAAAGTTGAAATTTTCAATTCCAATTCCATCATTCTTTTTTCCATTTCCATGCTATCAAACACTTCCTAATTGTTATCATGGTCACTCAATTGATTTTGTTTTAACACGATCATCCAATTTTATACTTAACGTCACTTAGACAATTCAATTTGATTTTATTTCATTATAACCACATAAGTTTATATAATATTTCACAATAACCATCAATTTTATATAACGTTCACTATGACTAACCAATTTTTTTCACCATATTCACTAATTTTAAAAGGGTAAAATAGTATCTTTGCATTATATATAAAATAAATTCAAAAAATAAAATAAAAATAAAAACTTATTTTAAAAATGTTACTTAAAAAATAAAATAAAAACTTATCTAAAAAAATTACTTTAAAAAATAAAATAAAAACTTGTTACAAAGGGGCAGCTCAGCAAAATAATATAAAATAAAAAGTTATTTAAAAAAAGTTCCTTTAAAAAAATAATAAAAACTTATTTTGAAAAAAAAAGTTACTTAAAAAAATAAAATAAAATAAAAGATTATTTTAAGAATTATTTTTTAAAAATTTATTTTGTACTAGTTAAAGTTGAATGTGAATTGCACGTTATTCTAAAATATTGTATAAGTGATGTAAAAGTAATATTTGGTACGAATTTGTTGGAAGATTTGATGAGTCTCGGACGAATTAAAGAATATAAAATTTACCATAGAAATTTAAGAGAAGAAAATTGTATTCAAATTGTACTCTCAAAACTTAATTTCTGTAATTTAAATTTTTTGTAATGATGATGTACTATAAATGAAGAAACTTTTTATATTACATTTGATACATAAAAAATAATTGTTAACACATACATTTAAACACTCATTAAAATTTTTAGATATATAAATATGAATAAATTCATCTCTAATAACTCTAGATTTATGTAATTCAAGATTTATTAAGTGAAAATTCATTAAATATTGATTAATGTGAATGTTAATTAAT